ATTACCGTGCAATCTACCTTCTTCCATTTTCGCAGGTTTGGGTCTCCAACATTAGGCTTCTGAATTGAACCATCAATAAAGCCGATTTTCGTCTTCGCACCAAGCGCTATCATCATTGATCTCTTCCACGCGAGAAAGTTTGTTCCGGTCAATGGATGCGAAACCAGCTGCATCCCTGGGTTATCAGATCCATGGAGAAAAAACGGATTATCCTCGCGATTCTCCTCGTCGGTAGATCCTCTCGCATTTAACAGTGGCCAAGCCTCATTCTGCCGATTCGCCATTGATTGTTTCTGCAATTTTGTTGAGCTCAACTGGCTCTGGATACCATGAAGAAAAAGTGAATCAAGGAAGAAAGAAAGAAATATCTCAGAGTAATTTTTTTTATGTTCTCATTCATCTGAAATAGAAGTTCAAAGACGGGGCTTATATATTAAGCCCGCGTGATCCCAAATGCAAACAATACAGAGGTGAACGACGTCGTAGCTTATCAGCACCTTATTACATCTATGCGACGTCGTTAATATGACTAAAAAAAAACAATTATAAGGGTAATAATCGTCAACACGATTTCTAAGAGAAAATTGAGCGGCATATCTATATTATCTTCAATATTATTCCTAATTTATCGGTCATGTTATATAATGATATTAACTAGTGGTCTTCTCTATCTAGAAATGATGGGTTAACTAACCAACTAGAAGGCAGTTGATTAATGATTGTCATGTAGACGCTTGTTTCAAAGAAATTAAATTAACTCCCACACCGGTTTATCATTTTCTTCACTTTTAGTTTGCTGGTGCATCAATTTGCTAGCTTATTGTTATTATTCTTTTGTTTGTTGTAATTTTTGTTGTAAATATTAAGTTGTGGACATTACCTAGATATAGGATTTGTAGGCATGGGCCAGGAGCCCATTAGGTATTTACTCATGTACATTATATTCCCTTATATATAGGGCTCAAGTGAATGGATAAGAAGATGAGGTTTAACGGTGTATCTCTTCTCTCTTATTCTCTTCTTCTTCTACTGTTTCTATCTTTGTCTATTTTACACATAGATTTTACATATTGTCAATCTATATTACAACAGGTTATCAGCACGAGTACTCTACCATCTAAGCGAATAGTGGTGGCATCAAGACGAAGGGGCAGTCAAGGTATTATCTCATCAGTTTTCTGCTATAAGATCGATCAAGCCCGTATGATTATCAAGATCACAAATTATTTCGTCTTCTGCATCAAGTAAGTGTTTCGTATACACTAAATTGTTTATTCAAGATGCATGATTATTATTTTGAATATATTATTTTGTGGATCTTTCTAGTACCTGATGTTTTTCTTATTTAACTGTGAACAAGTGTGATGCTTTCAAACAATTTATCAAACGACTTTAGCAACCAAACCGAACTTGAACGTCATCCAATTCAGCACCGATCTACAGCTCGACTTATGGCCAAATAAAAATTTTTATAGGAAAAGTAAAAGGCAATTCCATTTTATTTTATTTTGTTTCTTTTCTTTCTCCAATTTTCTCTACCGACGCAAAACGTATTTGATTATTATTTGTACAATTGTATTTACCCAGATGAGTTATTAAGTAATTATTCTATACTATTTTTCAACCTGTAAGTCTGTAACTGAAGATAAGTAAATGTCCATGGATAAATTCATCTTTTAAAGAAACAAAAGAATAAGAAAACTATGGTAAATATAAGAAAACAAAAACAGACTACAAAATCTCGTTAATGGGAATTTCGCAAATATATCAACTATTAGTATTCAATATATGTTTTACGGTCTGCTTATTATTATGATCTGTCAATTGATGTTTACAATTAATTTGATGTATGATCGCTTGACTGACTTGTGAATATTTTTTTTCCGATCATATTGGAAGCATAATTTGTTCACACCAATTGACAGTCTTAAGCTATGGCTTATGATGAATTTTGTCCGCATATATATG